TCATGGGCGAAACTAGGCCTAAACCGAAATTGCCTAAATGCCTAAACTATGGGTTAGTTTCGGCCACCATCATTAATCTTTACACAAAAATTTTCTATAATTTGATTTAAAGGAATGAATTATACCTTGATCAATTGGTTGAAGATGAGTAGTTGTGTTAGGTGGAAGGAAATGTAATCTAATATTACTTAACACTTCATTTTCTCCTAATTGATGAGAAGAAACATTATCAACTAATAGCAAAATATTTCTTAGTTGTCTTCACATTTGTTCATTAACTTGTTTAATCCATGTTTGGAATATTGAATGCTGCATCCAAGATGAATTATTCCAGTAATACTGCGAGCATGCAATCTGAGTTTCCTAATTAATAGGTTATTTATAACTCAACACACAGCCTTCTTGCTGACTTACAGTTGATTCTATTGTTTGACACACAGCCTACTTGCTGACTTACGGTCAATTTCCTTTATTTATATATGTGACACACAGCCTACTTGCTGACTTATGGTCAAAAATTAATAAAAATATAACTTTTATCTTTTCAGACAAAAGGGTCCCTAGGTTCTATACAGTGACTTCCATAATTATTGCACCACTTGACTTAAAATTTTCAAATTGTAAAATTTTACAATGTAGAAATCATACAATCAATAAATTTATATCAATTAGAAATTTATGACTTCTTCAATAATATATTTAAATTTGACTGATGGTTTATTTGTGTTTTTTCGAGAAATTTCCATTCAAGTGTTTTTTTTGTGGTGCAATACTTTTGGCAACCGTAAATGGAAATGATTAGACAATGTTTACATGACGTTTATATAAAGTAACTATATAACAAATGTACGTTACATTCCTATTTGATCCACTTTTCTTTTTATGCTCAACTATGAAAGCAATTACACTTGAACAAAGAGCTCGTATTTACACTCTTATTCAAGAAGGATACTCTAGTCGTGAGATTGCATTTTGTGAAAAAATTAGTCATTCCACTGTTGTAAGAATAAAACAAAGAAAGGAAAAAACAGGAAGTTTTGACATTATACCAAAACCAGGACGCCCACGCATACTTTCTGAACAACATGATAGGAATATCTGCAGACTTATTAAATCGGGTGAATGTTCTAATGCAATTCAAATTCAAAAAAAATTAATTTCCAATAAAAATATTATTGTTTCTCCAAATACAATTAGACGCTCATTGAAAAGACAAGGTATGGTATCTAGAGTGAAAAGGAAAAAACCATTACTACTAAAATGACATAGAATTGCAAGAAAAAAGTTTGCACGGAAATATCGAAATTGGACTATAGAGGATTGGAGAAAGGTTATCTGGTCAGATGAAAGTAAATTCATGATTTTTGGTTCAGATGGAAGGGAGTTGTGTTGGAAAGATCCAAAATCACCTTTGCGTCCACAACATGTTAAGCCAACAGTAAAGTTTGGTGGAGGTAGTGTTATGATATGGGGTTGTTTTGGAAGTTTTGGTGTTGGAAATTATTGTAAAATTGATGGAAGAATGAATGGAGAACTATATCAACAGATATTGGGAGATGAGTTTCTGCATCCAGAAAATATAAAAAAATTTTACATGTGTCAATTGTAAGTTTAATAATAAAAAAGTGTAAAACTTACGTCGGCACTGTA